GTTATAGCAGTTTTACCAAAATAGGTCAGCGCTGAGCAAGAGGAGCATGTTGTACATTGCACTAAGTTAGAGTGCTCGAGATCACCAAGCGAGTGCTCGAAAATCAGGCAGAATGCCCTTCGGAAATGGCTCATTTCAGCCCACTTGCACATTGGTTTCCTCAATGCCATCTTCCTTCTTTATGAAGTGGTTGGAGGTGTTCCTTGGAGGAGAGTTGGAGCATAAAAAGCTACCCAAGGGCCACACATTAGGAATCTTTGATTTTTGCAAGATAGAGGAGAGAGAAGAGAGCAAGAAAGGAAGGTGTTCTTGAAGCTAACAAGGGGGAGCTCGAAAATTGGAGATGGAGTTCAAGTTTCTTCTTCATTCTAAGGCTCCAATGGGTAACTAACTCTTCTTCTAGGGAGGTGATGAAACCCCTCCCTTGTAAGCATGTGTTAGTATAGTTTATTTTTAGGGATTACAATGTATTTTTGATAGTCTTTCCATGGTCAAGAGCCTCATTTTTGTTGTAATGAATGTTGAATGTTTATAAATGATTATTGTGAGTTATTCATCTTGTCTTGGATGGTTGCTTTTCGTAATCATATTGCTTGCACTTCCATGGTGACAATGGAAGTTAGATCATGGAATGGTTTCAATGGCATGGAGTTGGAGAACCTAGATAGTTCATGGCTTAGGGTTTCCCTTTGATGGTCTATACTTGATTCCTTGCTTTATGTGCATTCACCATTTAAATTAGGGCTTGATAATCCTTGACTTAGTAAGCATGTTCTAAGCTACATTTTAGTTTAGGTAGTTAATCATGTGAACCTTTGATGGTTTATTCTTGCCTTCCTATTTAAATGAACTTCTTGAGGATATTATAGCAACCTAGTATTGTTATGTATCATGACTATCATATATGTTGTTTTTCCCTTAAATTATTCTTAACCTAGCATGTGTATAGGGATGGAGGTGGATTCATTTCCCTAGCCTTCTTTACTTGTACTTCACTCCCTTGAATTCTTGCAATTTATTGTTTTATGCACTTTTAATTTCCTAGCTTAAGTGACATCCAACAAACCTCTATAAACCCCTTATCATTCTAAGAACAATTCTAGACACTTAGGTTGCCATAGACTAGCGCAGTCCCAGTGGTTCGACTTACCCGACCAATAGCCCTATTTTACAATGATTCGTGCTATTGCGAAGGTTGATGTATAGTTGATCAACCGATCACCTATATAAAAAACAGTATGGTCTGCTCGGGTTGAAAACCCTATTCATGTAATAGTATCTTGAGAGGAAAAATAGAAAGAAGCTGGAGAGGAAAACAGAGAGGGTCTTGAGAGATAACCTATGAGGCTAAAGGAGAAAGAAGGGGTTGCTTCTGGATGGAACCAAGAAACAATAGAGGAATGGAACAGTGATCAGAGGAAAAGAACAGTCTTAGGGTTGGCGGAACTTAGAGACGGCGTTGAAAGGTTTCAAACCTTCTATCTCCTTCTTGTAAACTTATGTTCTGTGCATTCTAAATAGACTCCAGGGATGTAATAAAACTTTAAAACGAATGTTTGTGCATAATGAATCAAGCTGCAATCTGTTTTACGTTTTGTGTAACTGTTTTTGCTTTCTTGCATAGACTGCTATGATTTGGATTTAAATTTCTGTAAATCAATTCATAATGGAATCCGAAGAGTTCTAAGGGCTGTTTAGACTTTGATTGAACCCTGAAAACTTTAAAAAAATTCGGAACAGAAGATTGAAGTTCGCCGTTAGCGAAGAAGACGAACAGAGGAGGTGGGAGAAGGCTCTCAGGAGGAGAGCCGGCTCCCTAATGGAGGGAGCCAACTCCCATGAAGAAAGAGTTGGCTCGGATGGAAAAAAAACCCCTACGGGGTGTTTTCGGATGACTTTCTGAATCCAGGGGCTTAAATGGAATTTTTGGACAGTTATGGGAGGTTGTAAATGTTTAAATTTTACCTGTTAGACCATTAAAACCGTTAGTATAAGTTGGTGTGCTAATTGTAGAAGACATCATGAATTATAAAACATTAATGTGCATGTTGTCAAGAAGGAAGGGGGACTGAATTACTAGTTGTTTTAGCAAGTTAAATGAACTGATATAAAAAGGATTGTTAGGATTTTGTATAAATGGTATATATAACATTTTTCAGCTCTAGGAAGGTTGGTTATCCTGTGGTTATGGACGTCATGTAATTTTAACAAGTCAGTCACATGCCGTCGGGAGTAGTAGAAGTTTTAGTTGCCATTTTGTGTTAGCGAACTAAACGGACTAGTATGAAACTATAATTGGGAATTCATATAGTGTACTCTGTCTAGACTTCTGAGTGTCATTATATCGGGTGCAGTATTTATAAATTAAGGATTAAAGGGGCGTCATGGGATTTAAATACTGATTTGCATGCCGTTAAGGATTGAGGAGGATTTAATTACTAATCTTTGTTTTAGTAATTTAAATGAACTAGTATGGAAAAGGATTGTTTAGGGAATTCTAGCATAATGTGCTCAGTGTAAAATTCTGATAATCATTATATCATGCTATAGATGTAAATTGATGAACTGTTATAGTTTTTGTTTTGTCAATTGGATGGATATGGATGGTTTAAATTGTTTAACAATTCTTTAGTAAATTTAAATGGAAGTTTTATGATTATAATCATATACTGGATGCATGTTAGGATCTTATCTATATCTGATTTCTATTATATTGGTTTTTGGATATACTTGATGTTCATTTGAGTGTGCATCATTTATGAATCATATACATTATATGCACCGGTATGAGACGGTGGCATATCGGAGATGGATTAGATCAAAAAGTTAAATCCTACCTCTTCATACATACGGAATGGATTAACTAAAACAGTTAAATCCTACATGGATGCATGCCTTGTCAACTAAAACAGTTGAACGACATAACGGATGTTTGTTTTACTTTTCTACATTAGGAAGGATTTATATATATACTTATGGTATTGTGATATGAGCTTGAGTCTCAGGATCATGGTTAGGGTGCGTATATCGCAAATGTTGAGTAACTAAATAAAGCTGATGTTCACTGACCGGAGATGTACATGGCCACTAGAAAGTGTGGTTTACATGTTTCCTTCTATACAGGCTAAACTACACCATAGGCTAGTGAGCATCCTATAGTGTGTATTTATATATTTATAGACTATTTTAGTTATTACTGAGCTGTCTAGGATGTATCTGCGTATCGGGTTTATGTATGTATTGTAGTAGGATGGAACTTACATGTGGGCCTGACCCACTCTTATTTTTTAGGTGTTCGTCAGTACTAGGCTTAGAGCTTGATCGTGATGATACAGATACAGACACTCACTCTTCCGACTATATAAGATTTTCTTTCTTATTTTAGTTTTGGATTTTAATTCTGTAATTTTATTTATCGTTTGGGATTAATAGGGGTCCACTAGATGGATTCCCGAGTTGTACAGATTTGAAGGTGTAAAATTTATTAAATTTTTATTTAAAGGATTTTTGTATTTAGAATTCTTTTCAGCGTATTATTTTATTTTGAATTCTTTTGTACTCTTGCTTGTTTATATATTGATCATCTGGTATCCCTCAGATCTGTGCTTGGACTTGATCACCCGTGGATCTAGAATCGAGGGGTATCACACATACCATGCTCTAGGTGCTTACTTTAACCCATAAAGAGCCTTTTTAAGATGAAAAACAAAATCAAGATTATGTGAATCAGTAAAACCTTTTGGTTGTGTTATATAAACTTCTTCCTGCAAAAAACCATTAAGAAAAACACTTTTAACATCCATTTGAAACAATTTGAATTTAAAGTGACATGCAAGAGCAAAAAGAAGTCAAATAGACTTAAGTCTAGCAACACGAGTAAAAATCTCATCAAAATCAATTCCTTCAACTTGAGTGTATCCTTGTGCAACTAATCTAGCTTTATTTCTCATCACAAGACCATATTCATCAAGTTTATTTTTATAGATCCATTTAGTCCCTATGATATTAACATAACTAAGTCGAGGCACTAGTTCCCAAACATCATTCTTCACAAATTAAAGCAATTCTTCTTGTATAGCTATAAACCAATCAGAACTTTGAAGAGCTTCATCAACATTCTTAGGTTCAAATTGATCCATGTGACATGAGTGTACTATATCATCTACAATACATGAGTGTCCTACATCATCACGGACAGTACTCCTAGTATCATGCTTATCCCATGGACCTATCACATTGTCAATCGGATGACTCAATCTAACTCTAGAATTGCTAGATATGGGTATATCTAGAGATGGTGCAGGAATTCCTATAGGTTCATCAATGATGACCTCTAATTTCTCATCTTCATCTTCTTCAACCTCTTTACCTTCTCCACCTATATCATCAACTCTTTTTTCCTTATGAATTGTAGGTTCTTTCCTTTCACTTGCAATTTCAAAATTAGTTTCTTCTTCATCAAGTTGAAACGGGGTTATCTTAGATTTTGTATCATCAAAAACCACATTTATAGACTCCATGACCACTTTGGTTCTAAGATTAAAAACCCTATAAGCCCGACTTACTTGTGAATACCCCAAAAACACACCTTCATCACTTCTAGAGTCAAATTTTCCCAAGTGTTCCCTATCTCCAAGGATATTGGTGTGCACGTCATCAAGCACCCAAAGTTTGCAAAAGAGATGATGGACTAAGATGGGTGTGGCCAAGTTTTACATTTATAATTTGCCACTACTACCTTTCACTAAAAATATAGTTAGGGCGAGTAGGGATCGTCTCAAGGGATTGGTGGGTCGTATTAGGTAAACCTGTCAACGGATCGGATTTGGACCGGATCATGGTCAATCCGATCCGAATCTGATAAGCATAATGAGTGGTCCGATCCGGTCCGACAATCCGACGGATTTTTACTAAGCCAATCCGTATCCGATTTGTTTGATTATCGGATATCCGATCCGATAGTCCGGTCCGATAATGTAACTACACACTTTGCACAAATTAACAAACAAATTAGGTAGGAAACTTGAAAAAAAAATTTGAGAGAGAGTTTTTACAGATAAATTTATGAAAATATTTACACCAGAAAATGTAATAAAAATCAAATTGAGAGAGACAAGAATAATACAAAAAAAAAAAAAAAAAATTAACTAACAGATTTTATGAAATAGAAAAAAAGGAACATCACAAATTAGGGTAAAAAATATATCAGTGTTCAGTAGGTAGCAAAGGACCAGTAGTTGGCGCAGACAAAACTCCACTTTCAATGGTTCTTCAACTGATCTTTTCCTCTGTTTAACCATCAGATACTCTTCCGCTGCTGGGGTTGACTCCTGCTTGCCCTAGTTCTTGGGGATGCCGATGTTGAAGGCCTAGTTTAGGGACGGTGAGATCTGAGTGCACAACTTGAATATTACGGGCCTCTGTTCCCAACTAACACAGATTGAGGGAAAAAGGTCACAAAAGAAAGAAGCTCGACCAAGAGCTTGAAGGAATCAAAGCAAAAATTCCAATTAAAAGTAAGATCGGATCAGAGAGAAAGGAAGAACACTAACCTGAAAGGAGTAATATTTTGCAGTGATCGCCGATCGATGGCTTCCTTTTTCTGATTTGTGTTGCAACTTTGCTACGTGGGACTGTGGGAGTGTTTGGAAAAAAGGTTGTTTTGTGGCAACGGTAGTGTGAGTGAGAGAACAGATGATATAATGTTGTTGTGAACTTGTGAGCTAGGGTTTAGATAGATTAAAGAAGGCTTAATGGGCTTGGGAACAAGAAGTGGGCTTGAAGATGGATTTGGGGCTTGACTCATATATATATATATATGGGCTTGGAGATGGGTTTGGGCCTGGAGTGCTGAACTCTTATATATATATATATATATATATATATATAAAATTTTAATTCGGATTGGATTATTATCGGATCGAATCGGTAAAATCCATATCCGATTTGTTAAGTAAACGGATTATCAGATTCGGATTATAAACGGGTTATCGGATTTTTTGTCCAATCCTTATCCGACTAATCGGATCGGATTCGGATCAAAATCCGATCCATTAACACGTCTAGTATTAGGTTGTGGAATCTAGATTAGGGTTAGTAGGTCGAGTGATCAAAAGATTGGTTGGTGATTGAATTATATTAAGATGCAAATTAAACTAAAGTAAACAATTGAATGCAATAGAGAGAAAATAAGAGAGAGAGAGATCTTGGGGTTTAGAGATCACCACTAAGCATAGCTTTTCTACACCCTTAATGAATGATTAATGAGGGGGAAAACATGTATTGCAACAATAGTGTATGTGTGTGTGGTTGTTTCAACAAGCATGGATAACTAATTAAGTATATATTGTCTAAGCAACATAGTGGATAGCACAATGCATCAAACTAAGCCATTAATCATTTCTTTAAGCTCACAATCCAAACACATCAGAAGGTTAGAGACATATGCTATTTGTTTTCATAAGTATGGAATATCAAACAACAAGCATGGATTGTCCTCCCATTTAACATCTAAACTACAACTACACTATAATTAAGCTAATGACATGCAATTAAACTAATTAAACTAAGGGAGAGGTACAATCCATCAAGAAATGAGTATGAACTATCAAATAAACTACAAGAGCATTCTATTAAGCACTATGTCTTGACAATTTCTAGATCTATAGGATCAACACACATAGACATGCATCAATAATACAAAATTTAGAGACAAACACAAGAACATCTATTCTAGCATACATAGACATATAGATAGAATGAAATGATCAATTGGAAGCATTAAACCACACAAATCATTAAATAAACAAGATCTATGTATATAAATATGTCAAAACATGTATTACAATACAAATCCCCTCAAAAATACATAAATCAAGATGTAGAAAGCATGCTTAGGGCTAACTCTAGCCCCAAGAGGATGTCTAGCCACTCATGGATGGTGCCCTCCAACCCTCAATGGCTAACTCCATAGTAGAAATTGCTCATCTTCTTGGTTGATGGAAGAACTCCAAGCTTGTGCCTCTAGCCTCCTCTCTTCTTTTCTTCCTCACTAAGAATATAATATAGAAAATTGTGTCTCTAGTGTATGTATGTCTCTCTTCAATATAATGGCTCATATTCCTTATATAGGTAGGTTAAATATCACCCCTAATGAGATGGGCTCATACACCAATATTCCTTCCAATAATTGGATATGAGACAACTTTTAATGAGTTGGAAATTGAATTTTCTTGCTCTTGGGGAAGTTCGATCAATCGAACTTGTGGTGAGATCAATCGAACATGGCTGAGATCTATTGAACTTAAGCTGGATCGATCCTCTATGGCGGCATCTTTTTGGATAAAGACAAATCTGAGATATTTTGAAGATATTTTTGGGAAAGAGACAAGTGTGGTAGGTGTGGTGGTACAACTGGATAAGATGGAATATTTTCGATTGATTGGAAGAAAGTTGGATCGATCGAACATTGTGGGATCTTTGGATAAGGACAAAAGGGCTTGAATCCATCTTGAAATGTCTAGATTGATAAACTTTCGATCGATCGAATATTTCCTGAGATCGATTGAACTTGCTAAATTTCCACCACTTGCTTCCTTTTGCTCCCACTTTACTCCTTTCTTTGATTCTTCTCAAGATTGCTTCAATTATGCTCTTATTTAGCTGAGTTAGCTTATTTTGGGGATAAGTACCTGAAAATGAAAATAATACAAAATCAATCTAAAGCGGGAAAATAAGATAGATAAAGGTTCTAGAATACCTAAACTTAAGGGGTTTAAATGCGCACTTTTCAGTGCTCATCACACCCCCAAACTTAAATATTGCTAGTCCCTAGCAATGAACTAGAAAGTAAATGAATGAAATGAACAACTATACAAGTATGATCTAGAAAGCAATAAATGGATAACGCCACTTTCGTAAGGAACACGATTACATTTAGCATATGCAACAAGCCTTTTAAACCTCTAGGTTACCCCTAATGGACGAGTGAAGTCTCGTGAGGGTTTTCAGAAATGATACTCACAAACATTAAACTCATTCTCACAAAAGAGATACTAATATCGCAAACAAGCATTGGGAGAAAACTACCTCAAGTATGCAATTTTTCAAACATTTCCAAGCAATCTCCTAAAATTTCAACATCAAGTAAGCAAGTATGGTCCTCCACACATCAAGAAAATGATCATGCAAATCAAAACAACTCTAGAATCTTTTTTGAGTGGACCGGCATCAAGTATGTTGCTATCTAAGCAAACTAAAGAAATGATCACATCCTTACCCTTAAACTAGCACATAAATATAGTACCGATCATCAAGACAAAGAGTGGACCTTTTATTAAAACTTTATTCATGTAGGTGCGCTTATTCTTTTCATTCGATTTATTATTTATTTATTTATTTATTTCTATCCCTAAGGATTAAAGATGGAAGCATGGTACAATGTGTTGATCTATTAAGCTTTCTAGTGATCCATGAGGTCGAGCGTTAGGTCAATGACTCCCAAACCAGACAGCTTTAGGGCACTAGGTGTTCAAACACCCCTAAAGACTTACAATCTCAAATCAACTAAGCTACAAATCAAATCAACTAAGCTACAAATCAAAATAACCTCCATCTAATCATTTCACACTTCTCACCTTTTCGGAGAAGTCCTCACTTTTTTTTATTACTTTTATAACTTTTTCTCTTTTCTTTTCTTTTTTTTTTTTTTTTTTTCTTTTTTTTTTTTTTTTTTATTTTAAAAAAACAAGTTCAATTATTAACCTAGAGTTTGGGCCCTCCACCTTTCGGCGCGAGAAGTTCAGTGCTTGATGAGGCTAGAATCCCGGCTACTTAGTGAAAAGGGGTTGTTATCCACCTTTATCAAGAATGAAAACTTTCAATGCACTACTAGCCCAATTGGGATATAACCAATTCAATAATCAACAAAGCATGTACCCCACAAATGAATGCTAGTGTGCGCCAGTGCTAGTGTAGAATCCTAGAGTGAATCTCAAAACAATCACAAAATTAAAATGATGTGGACCACAAGTGCAAGCAAGATATCAATTTTTCAAAAAATTTACTCCTAAATGGCATCCACAAGGCATACAAGGAGCATTGGACTCTCAAGTCAAGCAATTTTTAAATTTTAAGCAATATAATCCTCAAATGATCAAAGTCATAGCTATCATAGATTTCCAATCTCAATCATACATTTCAAGCTCAACTTTAAATAGAATGCAATAAAGTCACCTTACCCCCAAACTTAAACTGCATATTGTCCTCAATGTGCAATGAGAACAATAGAAAAGATGGAAATCGTATACCATGGTGGCAAAGACATGAAGCCCGGCAATGACCCAATTCGAAAGACGTCTCCCCCAAACTTGGAATCAACAACCTACTTGAATGACCACACTAGCAAATTCACATCAAATCTCAAATGGGATAAGAATAATCAAATCGTGTATTCTAGAGCAATATAACACAAGATGAAAGAGAGATATGAGATCAACTCCAATAGAAAAGTAGCATGGCTACACATAAGGGCACAATGGTGAATTTTTTTTTATTTTTATTATTTTTTTTTTTTTTTTTGAATAAACAAAAATTCAAGAAAGTATGAACAATGATTGCTAAGTTTAACGTCTCTAGCTAGACGTAATGCTGCTTTGAATAAATAAGCTTTAAAAAAAAAAATCAAGAAGGGAAGAAAAAGTCAAACCAAAGATGTTCAGATTGATCTCAAAAACTTTTCGATCGATCGAACATGCATAAACCTGCAGACATGTTCAAACGATGAGCCAGAGAGGTCTTTGGATGCAGGTTGGAGGTAGGTTCAAAATTTTTCTAAGTGTTGAGACTGCAGATCGATCCAAGATGAAGTTGGATCGATCGAAGAACTAAAGATCGATCTAAGAACAATTCGAACGATGGGACAGAGAGCTGAAATATACAGGTTTTCTTTGAACGATTGGACAGAGAGGTGATTGGATGCAGTTTAGATGTAGGTATGGAGTTTGATCGATCGAACCTCTTTTGAGATCGATCGAACTGATGCAAAAGGTCCATTTTCAACATGAAAGTGCATGCAATCCTAATCACAGTTCCTAGCAATACATATGAACCTAAAGCAAATATCTAGATTTCGCAATAAATGAAATTTAAAATAGAAATGAGGGAGGAGTAGGGTTGTGACATCCTACGAAATGTACTAATCTTTAATGTCTCTAGCAAGACGTTGGGCTCTTTTAGCCCAGATCAAACATCTTGTAGTGCATCCCCTCCTTGATGGGGTGATTTGTACTTTGAACTCCACCCAATAAATGGTTGCCTAGAGAACTTGTTGGATTTGGCTCAAAAGAAATTTTTGGTCCATGGTCACAATGATCTTTGGGCTTCCATGCCCTTTCAAAACAAGATTTTGAAACAACTTTCTTGGAATTCAGGGTTGAAGATAAATTTTTTGGAATGTTGGTTTCAAGCAAAGACTCTATTCCTTCACATTCATGGTCATGATATTTCTCTACAACATTCACTTCTTCATACTTGTCAAATGAATTCGGGGTCGGATTGAAGATATTTAACTTCACCTTCATGTGGCCAAATAAGATCTTCATTATCCCCGTCCTACAATTAATGTTGGCATTCGTGGTTGCCAAGAAAGGACGGTCAAGAATAACATG